AGCTTTATTTAACTTAGTCTAATGGAACTTGGAGGTTAAGTTGCTAGAATTAGAATTTGATGAATTCAAATAGTAAGTCAGAATTAATTAGGGAAACATAAATGAGATGCATATAAAGAAGTTAAGTACATGGCAAAGTAAAAATTACATGGAGTTTGTTCCTTCTTGCTTGTATGCTGAAACTTTGTGATTGATGATTTTTGGGCTGAAAATCGATGAGTGGATGAAATGAGAAACTATGTTAGTCATATGTAGTTATTTAATATTGCTTATATATATGTTTATGTAAGCTATTTATGAAGGAGAATTGATTAGTGTATTTAGTAAGCATCATAAAACATGCTGCATTTGAATTGAATCTATGGTAAAGACCTATGCTAATGGCTAGGGAAAGGGCTCCTAAAGTTAACTAGGCTGATTTGAGTTGTTAGACCTTTGCACAAAAGGATGTATAGGCTCGTTTGTAGACTTAGTGAGATTTACACTCACAGAATGAGTTCTATAGATTTGTTCATGGACATATGGAAACATAAATTCATGCTAAAGTTTTCCTCAGATTTACACTCACAGTTATTTAATCTATGAGTTCCTTTGATTTACATGCAAAGTAAAAATTACTTGAACTTTGTTCCTTCTAGCTATCTTGTGTGCTGAAACTCTATGGTAAGTGATTTTCAAGTTCAAAATCTGTAAGCATATGAAATGAGAAATTATGTTAGTTATACAGTTATTTAATCTTGCTTATCTATATGTTTATGTAAGTAAGCTAATTATGAAGGAGAATTGATTCATGTATTGAGTAAGCATCATAAAACATGCTGTATTTGAATTGAATCTACGATAAAGACCTATGCTAATGGCTAGGGAAAGGGCCCCTAAAGTTAACTAAGTTGATTTGAGTTGGTAGACCTTTGCGCAGAAGGATGTCTAGGCTGGTCCATAGACTTAGTGAGATGTACACTGACAGAATGAGTTCCATATAGATTTGTTCATGGACATATAGATAAATTCATGCTAAAACTTACTTTGCTTATTACTTATGTGAAACTTGAAATATTTGTAATTTTGTTGAGAGTGAATGAATCCCTAACTTAAATGTTCGGTGCTAGTGAGCATTGATGGAACTGATTCTGCACCCTTGGGTAAAAATGCTACTTTTCTAGATTAAGTTCAAAGTATGGTTGGTATATGTTACACTAGTTTCCCTAAATTAATTTATTGAAATTCTTACTGAGCCTCGCATTGTTATACGTAAAAGCAACTAGAGGCAGCACACATATTTTTAGGAGCCTATGAAGCATCTACTAGTCCAAGTGAAAGCCTAGAGCTAACCTTGGTAAGACAAATTTAAACTCATCCCAAAACCTAGTCCTAGCTCGCTGATTTTGTGTCATGTACCTGTGATATATATGATATCAATGATTTTTGTAAACGCTTAAAGCTGCTGTAAAGGAACACATTGGCAACTTATGAGCTTCAAAGACTCTTGAACTTGTGTATAATGGAGTGTCTTGAACTGTCTTATTAAACAGAATTTAGAGATTGTCAAAGCCAAATGCCTCTGCTTTTACTTGAGTTATTAGTTCTAAAATTTTAAACCGTGGATCTACTGAGATTTTTAGCTCACTGGTTCTTGAACTACAGCACTAATCCTCGTAAACTTTTAACTTGAAGTGTTCATTAGTTTCAAATTCTTTCTGAGAACAAGTTCAGATGTTAATTTATTTCAAAACGGTATGAGATGTCAGCAATCTTAAGCAAAACCTGAAGTATTTTGCTAAATTTAAATTTAGACATTTGCTACTTAAAAGTACAAGAACTTCTAATTTACATTCAAACCTTTTTTCAAGCTGAAATTCAGATTTGGGTTGTGACATCTAGAGAGCTATATATTGTTTCCAAGTAATGAAATATCAAATTTTGATTTTTGGAGTTTTTGATTTCTACAAAAAAAAAACAAATCCCTTTTCTTTCTCCATAGGTCAAGAAAGCATGTTTCTAGATCTCTTGTAAGATAGATTTCAACAAAGTGAATGCAATCTGAGTGGAATGAATTATAAAAATTCCAAGTAAAAGGGAGAAAATTTAATACCTGGTGCAGATCGCTTCTTTGACAGTGATTTTATGAAGATTGAGATGATAGAGTATAAACTTGCAGCCACGGATAGGTTTATATGATTAATCAACCGACATTTGAATCCTCTATGACAAGAAAAGGAAATCTAAAAATGCAGCAAAGTATTCTCACATTCTTATCCACTTCAGGAAGTGAGGAAGCCAAATACCAAAAAAGTAAGGCATCTTACAAAGAAGAATTGATAATGAAGAAAAGAACGAGAAAGTAAGGCTTCTTACGAAGTAAAACTGAGAGTGAAGAAAAGAAACTAGAGAAGAAGCCAGGGATCTGACCTCTTGGCTTGAATGTCACAAACTCATCCATGTTATTGCCGGTGCTGCTTGCAAGTTGCAATTCAGATTTCAAGTCTCGACAATCTAAGGATCAAGGCTCTGCTAATTGGTATTGCTCTAATTAACCGTATTGATGAAAATTAAAATTTTCACTATTTCTCATTACACTTGCCGAGGATACAGTATGTAGTCCCTGAATTGATATTAAAATCAATGCGCCTTTATATGGTTCATATCTTGTTCAAGAGTGAAAGGGTCAATTATTATTTATTCTATTTAATGAAACCTTAATCTAAAAGGGAATTCAAGCTGGTTGATTAAAAATTCTAATTTCGTTAAGCAACAAACAGGATTACAACACTGTAACAGCCAAACTACCGCAGAACAAAATAAATGATCTCAAACTCAATCATTTCACCAAAAACACGTTTGTCAAATAATTACAAGTTGCAAGGAAATCAGTATTTAGCATCAATTGATTAACACAACACTCCTACTCTTGGTCAAGAAACAAAAATATTCACTTCTTTGCTATCTAATAGGTC